GTATTTTAACTTATTAAAACTTTTTATAGTTTTATATTTCCTGGTGTTCTTGCATTTTTGCTAGTTAAACATGAGTCTACCCAGGAATCACCTTTTTGTTTTTAGCATTCTTAAGAATATGTATGTATGTATATATGTATGTATGTATGTATGTATGTATGTATGTATGTTCTGGAGTTGAAAAAAAATGTTCAGTCATGAGAATGTAATTTTGAAGCGCTTAAATTGATTAGGTGATTTTTGCCTATAATAATATGATCTGATAAGGTATGATAACTAACTGGATATTTGAAGTTTGAGTAATGAATTGAAAGGAACTAAGGTTTAACATTGTTTTTTTTAATTAAGTTAGTTATCACTGGAAAAAGAAATGAATGAGATTGGTGATAAGAAGAAGGTTGAGAGAGATTAAAAACTTTAATATACATGGTAGAGATACTTGAAGTGATAATTTGTTGATGTAAAACAATATTTTATTATGGTAATTTTAAATTGATAAAGCTTTAAAACAGGTGGAGTAGTAACAGAAATTTAAGCTAGAAATGGAATATATTAAATCTATTATGTTATTTGTGAGAAATAGAGAGATGATAGTGAATGTATTAAGTTGAGCTCTTTATGTACGTTTTTCACCTTGAATTGTTTGTTTACCCAAACACCACGGTGTGTCTAAAGTATTCTTTGTTAAAATTAAAAAAAACTACTAAAATATATTTTTTAAAAAAAGATATTTAGGTTACATTTATCTCATGGTACTAGGAAGCCCTCACAGGAGCAGATCCAGGCTGTCTTCTTAAACCACTTACAACAAAACAATAGCTACACGGTTTCTTGAGAATAGCAATTGGATACCCAATTTTGCTTTAATGACAAAGCTCCTGCATGAAGCTACAAAAGGCTCTGATAGGGACTCTTTTGAATGGACAAATGATTACCAGATGGTGTTTGACAGTATCAAAACTTCTTTAATGCAAGCCCTCAGAATTCCTGGTGGCTGCTGGTGTTTTAACCCTTGGAAGTTGGGAGTGCCCAGTCGCATACTTCTCTAAACAACTTGACCTCATTGCCCAGGGATAGCCTGCATGCCTCCATGCAGCTGCAGCTATCATCCTTTTATTAAAAACTACTGAGCACCATCATTGTCACTGAGACTCTTTATTCCATCCAGGACCTGCTAGAATCAAAAGACGCCATTGGCTAACAGCCAATCGCCTTGAGAAGAATCAAATAGCCCTTCTTTATAATCTGCATGTACACTTAAAGTGGAGTGGCAGATTCAATCTGGCCACCTTTCTTCTCCAACTGGAACAAGATGTTACTCGTGATTGTGTCTGAACCATCGCTGAGGTGTTTTCTGGTCATCTGGATCTGGCTGACTGGCCATTTAAGGATGCAGATAGGGACCTGTATACAGATGGCGGCAGCTTCATGTGCCAGGGAAAAAGAATGGCTAGGTATGCTGTGATCACTTTGGACCAAGTATTGAAAGCAGCAGCCCTCCCTGGGTGAACTTCAGCCCAAAAGGCTGAGCTCATTGCCTTGACCAGAACCTTAGAATTATCAGAAGGCACAGTTGTTAATACTTTTACAGACAGTAAATTTGCTTTTGGTGTTGTAAACATACATAGTCCCTTGTGTAAGGCGCTCTGTTAAATATGGATCTGAAATACTGAGATTATTGGATGTTGTTTTGCTTCCCAGCAAGGTAGCCATTATACGTGTAAAGGCCCATGGTAAAGATGAAAGTAAACACAGCCAGGGAAATGCCCTGGCAGACTGCATTGCCATGTCTGCTGCCTCAGGTCCCCTTTTCCCTTGGTATGTTTGTGCACTCATTCTTTCCCATTTGCCTATGCCATCTCCTTTGTATACCTTACAGGATAGACACAGAATGTATAATATGGGTGCTGTTTATTAGGGGAATTGATTGGAAAAAATGGGGAAAAAACTTCTCAGTGTATGAATTGTGGGCCCTCCTGAGAGAATTACATGCAAGTACACATTGGAACTCCAAGGCTATGGCCGAACTCCTCATAAAGAACTATATTTGTCCTGGAATCTTCAAAAAAGCTCTTATTGTGGTCAGGCAATGTGATGTTTGTCAGAAAAACAATCCAGCAAAACCCCACTTGGGTTTCCACTTGGGCAAGCTTAGGCGGAGCCATGCTCCTGCCAGTTTGTGGGAAGTTGATTTTACTGAATTACCTAGGTCTGTGATTTCCTGGATCTATTTTCTTTTCTTTTTTTGAAGATGGGAACTACATCACCTCTTTTCCAGCCTTCTGGTAGTTCCCTGATGCTCCAGGATCTTTGAAATATATGGTTTAGTGGTTCTGAAATCACGCCAGCCAATTTGTTCAGAACCTTGAGGTATAATCCATCTGGTCCTGGTGATTTGAATTCATCTAGGATGCACAGGTATTCTCTTATTATTTTCTTGTCTATTTTAACTTGTATACCTAATCTTTCTTTTATGGTACTGCTTTTGTTAGGTTGGACTGTTTTTTTTCCCTTTAGTATAAAGAAAGATGAAAAAAATGAGTTAAGCAGTTCTGCTTTCTCCCTGCTGCTCATCATCTTGTTGCCATTTTCTCTCATTAATGGACCAATCATTTCCTTGACTTTTTTCTTGTTTTTTTATATGATGAAAGATGCTTTTCTGTTGTTGTTATTTTTACTTTAGTCATTTTGTCATCCGTAGAATCCTTCCCAGACTCTAAATTTATTGAAATTAGCTCTGTTAAAGTCTAAGACTCTAGTTTGACTTTGTTCTATTGTCTGTGCTTGCATAATGTTGAATTCCAATAGTGCATGGTCACCTCCCCACCCCACCCCACCCAAGGTTCCTGTAATTTCAATGCTTTCTATCATTTCATCTCTTTTAATTAGAGTTAAGTCCAGTATGGCTGACCTCTAATTTTTCTCTCTACTTTTTGGGAGACAAAATTGTTTGCTAGGTTTTCCAGGAATCTAGTTGATATTCCACTAGGATATATATTGTTCAAAAGAAACAGAACCAATTCAAAAATAGGGGTAGGAATTGTATATAAAGAATTCCTACACCTGAACAGAAATACACAATACTAGGGATGAAAGCCCTCTTGAAATATTTGGGTGAATATTAAAGGAAAAAGAAATGACATTGCTATAGGTGTATACTACCCAACCGAGTGGAAGAAACAGATGAACTTTTTGCTACTCAGTTGGCTGAAATGTACAAGAATCACACTGCTGTAGTAATGGGTGACTTTAACTACCCTGACATCAATTTCTAAACAAATTCTACATTGAGTGTGAAATTGAATAGGTTTCTGACATGTCCAGCTGACAACCAAAATGTAATGGTGGTAATAAAAGGTCAGCTATACTGAACTTAATCCTAACTAATAGGGATGAAATGGTTAAAGGAGTGGAAGCTGTAGGAATGGGGGGGGGCAGAGCGACCATGTCATACTAGAATTCACCTTAATGCAGGCACAGGTAACTGAACTAACTCAGACCAGTGCTTTAGTTTTAGGAGAGCTGACTTCAACAAACTAAGAGAGTGTTTAGGAAAGATTCTATAGGTGGACATCCTAGAAGGAAAAACAATTCAGGATGCACAGGAAATTCTGAAAAATGAGATAATAAAGGACTAAATCAAAACAGTACCAGAGGGAAAAAAACAAGAAAGACCATCAAATGAGACCATCAAAGTTGCATAAAGAGCTCTCTGACAAACTGAGGGACAATAAGGATGTATAAAAAATGGAAAGAGTAAAAGAGTAACATGTTACTAAAACATAATACTAGCAAATAGCTTGAATCTGCAGCATTGGAGTCCAAAAAGCTAAGTCTTAGAAGGAATTAAGATTTGCAACATATGCAAAAAATAATAAAACAGTTTCTTTCAATATGTAAGGAGCAAGAAGAAAGTTAAGGAAATGATCAGTTCACCAGCAGCCCCCCTGGAGGAGAGTCGCCCCCAGGCGTGGCCCACGCAGACAAGCACAACCAAGGACATGGCAGCCAGGCAGCAGGGACAAGACTCCGCCCTTGCACTCCGTCGCATGCAGATGATGTGGTTGGAGGGCGTGGCCGCTATGGCACTGCAGGGCCGCCTGGGCGATCTGCAGCGGGCTGTGGAGGTGGTGGGTGGACCTGAAGGCGGGCAGGGTAGGGGGCAGAGTGGGGGTGGGCTGGGGGCTGGGGCGGTTTTTGGGCACTCAGTCTCTAAAAGGTTCGCCATCACTAGTTTAATTCCTACTTTGCATCTCTTCATCTAAAAGGAAAAAATAGCCCAACCTATCGAAAGGAACACTGTGGGAAACAGAACAGGAATGCAGGTCAAAATAGGCAATAAAATTGATAAGAGAATACCTATCCACTTTAAACAAGTTCAAATCGCTTGGAACTAGTTTGTTTACATTCTAGGGTACTGAAGGAGCTGACAGATGTGATCTCAGAACCACTGAACAAAATCTTTCAGAGTTCCTAGAATATAGGAGAACTGCCAGAGAACTGGAAAAGAGCTGATGTGATTCTAGTCTTTAAAAAGGGGGGGAAAGGTGGATCCAAGAAACTATAGACCAGTGAATTTGACATCATCACCTGGGAAATCCTGGGAAATATAAGCAGCAGCTTTGTGAGCACCTAGAAATGAACAAGGCAATCACTAGAAGCCAGTATGGGTTTGTTTGTTAAAACAGATACATTGTCTCTTGAGACAGGTAAATCCAAAATGGTAGGATAGCCTTTGTACATGTTTTTATTTCATGGTGAACCTATGCTGATGAGAACATACATGCATACAATTGTATTCATGCAAATAATCTTTTATCCATTTTGCTTCTGAGAAGTTAGTATTTTTTGTAAAGTTGAGATTATTATGCTAGAAATATTTTTCACTAAAATGTATGTGTACATGTTTTCACACATAGATGAAAGTTATTAATTGGAGAAGGTTGAAAATTAAAGTGACAGTATACACTTTCATTAACTTTCTTTTATATTTTCTGAAGTTTTGCAACAGATATTATTAACATATATTATGGAAGTGAAGAAGCAGTGTGTGAAGACTTGGAACTCCAGGCTTTTGTGAAGGACATCTTTGTATATGGGATGAGGGGCAACAAGGATTCAGGTGATGTACAACTTCTACTGCAGTCCAGTTCTCTGTTTTGTGTTCCAATGCACTTAAGTTGATGTAATAGAACTTTCCTTCTTTGGACCAATTCTATAGCTTATTTCTTTAATACATTTCAAACAAACAAGCCTCTTCCTTTTCTGACAAAAATGGAAACCTGAGAAAAAAATTAAAAATAAATATATATTTTTTAAAAATATTAAGAATATTTCATTGGCAACAATGGAATAGGAACAATGTATATCAAAATGATAAATGACAAAGTTTCTTGGATCTCAGTTGGAATCCAAGCAGGGAACAAGTCTATGAGGAATGCTTGGGGAGTGTACTTATCTGGTTATCTGGGAACAATTTGATCCTGTTTGACTTGATACAGTGCACAGAGTCCTTGATGCTGTCAGTGCAACTACCTGTCATTTAGAGCCATGTGCCTCCTGGCTGGTGAAAGCTTCCACAACAGTAACCTCCAGGTGAGTTCAGGCAGTGATAATCACATCACTACAGGATGGGATGTTTCCAGGACCGTTTAGGGAGGCTTTGATCTGCCCCCTCCTCAAACAAACATCATTAGATTCTACCTGCTTGCACAACTTTATACAGTTTATCACCTTCCCTTGGCAGTTTCAGAGGGTCCTGGATGAAACAGATTTTTTGGACCCTTTCCAGTTTGGTTTCAGGCCTGATTATGGGACAGAAACAGTTTTGGTCCACCTATCAATGATTTTGGTGAGAGCAGGGTAGTGGTAGTGCATCCATCCTTGCTCTCTTTAACCTATCAGTAGCCTTTGATATCGTCAACTATGGCAGTGGTGGCAAACCTATGGCACGCATGCCAGAGGCGGCACTCAGAGCCCTCTCTGTTGGCACATGCGCCATGCCCCGGAGATGGCAACCATCCCTCTTCAACCAGCCGCCTGCTAACTCGCTGAGGTCCCACATGGCCAGATGCATCCCAGCACCCATGCGCTCGCTGGCCTCTGTGTGTAGGCAGCAGCCACTCTGGCCCATCTCACCTTGCCCTGTGACAATGGAACCCCTGCCTTGCCTTGCCTTACCCCACAGGATGAACCTCCTGCCCACCGCTCCACCTGCCAGAGACCCCCTGGATCTCCCCCAACCCTGCCCAGCCCCCACAGCCCCTCCCTATGAACATCAAGGTGATCACGCCCACCTTGGCCACACCCACCCAATCTGCCATGACCACCACAGCCATGCCCACCCAGTGGGCCACATCCACCTGGCACCCGGCGATAAATAAATGGATTTTGGGTTGCAGTTTGGGCACTCAGTCTTTAAAAGGTTCACCATCACTGAACTATGGTATTCTTTTGGGCCAGCTGCAGGATCTGGTGGTGGGTGGCACAGTTTTGTGCTGTTTTAGCTCTTCTGGTTCTGATTGGGATTAATAGGATCAAAGTTCCAAATCATAGTCACTTGTGGTGTGCTATAGGGTTCAGTACTCTCTCCACTCCGTTTTAATATCTACATGAAACTTCCGGGTGAGATCATCCACCAGCATGGGATGAGGCATCATCAGTATGCTTTATATTTCTATCCCAGGTGACCTAAATGTTGCTGTTATTGTTTTTTTATGGTGGCTGGAGGCTTTGGGGATCTGGATGGGGGAATTGCGAGGTGCATTGGTTGCCAGTTTGCTTCTGAATCCCACTCAAAGTATTAATTATCACCTTTAAAGTCTATGACATGGATCCAGTCTACCTGTGGAACTGTCTCAGCCTAATGGGATTGGCTCACCCCAGTTGTTTTGGCAGAAGGGGCATGCTGTGAACCCTGTAGATCAAAGAATTCTGGCGGGCAAGGCCCAGAAGAAAGGCTTTTTCTGTTGTGACTCCCATCCCTTTGAGTTGAGATCCACCCTTGTGGTCTTTCCTAAACAGACTCAAAATCTGGCCTGCCAAATGGCCTGGAGCTCTAATGGGGACATTCCATGTTGGAGGTAGTTAGTGGACCAGAAAGATCTCACCCCCATCCCATTGTATTCTGGTTTTTCAGGTATTTAATCTGTATAAATGTTCATATTTAATGTTTCAGTGTTTTAATGTTTTGATTTTATAAGTTGCCTAGAGTCACCTAACCATGAGATGGGTGGCATATAAATTTAATAAATAATTTATAATAAAAGTTTGATGCTAAAAATGTTATCTACTATATTAGGAGACCAATAGAATCTTTTCTGACTAACAAAAGCTCATGCCTTTTAATAAGATCTGTTATTCAGAAAATATACTACCAGACTCCTTCTTGATCAGGAGACCTTATACCACAAGTGGTATGTGTGTGTATGTATGTGTGTGTGTATATATATATAGTACAAATAAAAATGAGAATATAGGTATAAAAATATACTTTACTAAAAACCGCCGAGCTTTCGTTGGGAGGCTCCCAACATCATCAGGGCTAAGAAGCCAGTAAACAACGATGACTTAAATGGGTTTGGCTGACATTTGTACCCAGCTCATGGACCGCGTCACTGGTCCTGGCCAGTCAATTTGTGTTCCAGATGTTTCCTTGTTACTCTCCTTGCATTTCCTTCTATCGTTCTTCCGGATCGCTCCTCCTACCGTTTTATTGCTGACACTCAACTCTTTCAAAACTCTTTCATCCTCCTTTCTTCCAATGGCATTAGCTCTCATCCCATTCCCCCTCCCGTTATCTACTTTAGGGGTGTCTAATTCTCCTCTATCACTGTTATAACTCCCACTGGGATCACAGTTATATCTCCGTGTTTCTTTTGATTGCGGGTCGGTGTTTTCCCTCTGTTCTATATCCTCTTTTCTCACTCCCCTATTATTACAAGTGACGTTTGTACAGGCGTTATATGTTTGAGCACCCATGCGCTCATCCCTCATTCTAGCATTCTCTATATCCACCATTTTCTGTTGTTCTATCTGTTTACTGCGCGAACGAGTATTTACCCCACCTCTTTCTCTTCCTTCCCCCCTCGTCACATGTTTTTCGCTGTTGCCATTATCGATGTTTCCCTTATAAGTAGTGCACAAGCAAGCATTACACGTCCGAGTCTCCACATTCTCCCTCCCCCCTCTTGCATCCACCATCCTCAGCTGCTGATGGTCGTCCTTATCATTCAAGACGGGTTCAGAATATTCATTCCAGGGGGTGCCAAGCTGCTGGTGGGAATGCTATTCGTCTGCAGCGGATCTGGATGAAAAACCACCTCCCTCCCTTTCGCAGCATGCATGGGCGTCCGTTCCACCCTCTCGTTCTTCTCCTCCCCCCCTTTTTTCATTGTGCGATCCTCGTCACCATCTTCCATAGCATCGGATTGCAAGATCGTATTGCTGGATCTCCCAAACTCTCCATTGCTGCCATCATGCTTCAAGGGTGGGGGTCCATCGGGGTGGTGTTGGAGAAGACATGGGTCCTCTATCGACGAGTGCTTGCGTGTGCTTGGTAACGACAGATTCCCCAGTTGTTCGTCGGAATGACATTGACTTGGCGAGGCATTACAAAGGTGTTCCTGATGCGTCGGGGGTTAGCCAAGACTCCATGTACCTGTTCAGGGTGGGGATCAGGTACTTCATCATGATTGCAGCCCTGTAAGCATCGGTCAAACAGCTTGTGGTGATTGGAATGGTAGTTGGAATCCCATTTCTTCAATGCTTGTTGCGCTGGATGTAAGTCAATGTGACGGTTGATTGAGTCTCTGTTAGAGTACCAAGCCTCTTTCAATAGCTGGTCTCCTTTAGTGGCATCCTCAGGCATAATGCAGCACTGAGGAGTTTAAAAAGGAAGAAAGGAAACATCTCTTCCACATTTGCCAACAGAATGGGTACCCTATGAGATTTATCAGACGGCACAGCACCACACCACACCCCCGAGACAATCGGTGGAGAGAGGAACCATCATCACAAAAAACACGCATCTCTCTACCTTATATCAATAACATCTCGGAAGCAACAGCTAGACTGCTGGCCCCCTATAAGATAGAAGTGGCTCACAAACCTAATCAGACACTATGGTCCAAAGTCATGTGCCCTAAGGACCCACTTCTTGCCATGGATAGATCAGCAATAGTTTATAAAATCAATTGCAAAAATTGCGATGGCAATTATGTGGGCGAAACAACTAAGCGTTTAAGAACCCACTTACATGAACATAAATTAGCCATAAGAAGCTACTTCCAAATATGGAATGCATATGGCACAACATAGCCATCAATTTGACTTTGAGAATACACGCATTATGTCTGAGGATGCCACTAAAGGAGGCCGGCTATTGAAAGAGGCTTGGTTCTCTAACAGAGAATCAACCGTCATATCGATTTACATCCAGCTCAACAAGCATTGAGGAAGTGGGATTCTAACTACCACTCCAATCGCCACAAGCGGTTTGGCCGATGCCTACAGGATTGTAGCTGTGACGAGGTACCTGATCCCCACCCCAAACGAGTACACAGGGTCTTAATCAATTCCCAGCGTACTAGGAACATCTCCACAGCACTCAACCAATGCCAGTGCCATTTCATCAAACAACTGAGGAGTTCACCGCTGCCAAATACATGCAAGCACCCACCGATGGGGGACCCGCGTCTTCACCAACACCATCCCGATACACCCCCACCTTTGAAGCTTGACAACAGCAGTGGAGAACTTGGAAGATCCAGCAAGAAGAACTTGGAATCCGATGTTATGGATGGTGACAGTGAGGACCGCACGATATAGAAAAGGGGGGGGAGAGAAAAAGGAGAAAGCGGAATGAACATCCATACACGCTGCGGGAAGGGGGGGAGTAACTTTTCACCTGGATCTGTGAAGGGACAAACAATCACAGATGAAGGGTATTCCCACCAGCAGCTTAACTCCCTCCAGGACAGGTATTTTAAGCCCGTCTTGAGTAGAAACGATAGCCATCAGCAGCGAAAGATGGTGGATATAGGAGGGGGAGGGGGAGTATGGAGGCTCGGGCACACAACGCTTGCACACGCACTATTCGCAAGAGAAACATTGATAACGGCA